ATTCTCCTGCCTCAGCCCCCCGAGTAGCTGGGACTACAGGCATGCGCCACCATGCCCAGCTAATTTTTGTATTTTTAGTAGAGACGGGGTTTTACCATGTTGACCAGGATGGTCTCGATCTCTTGACCTCGTGATCCACCTGCCTCGGCCTCCCAAAGTGCTGGGATTACAGGCGTGAGCCACCGCGTCCGGCCTGCACAGAATTTTTGTAGATTGTTCCTAAGAATAGTTCACCAGCATTTTAAGACATCCTACTAATATTGGCAATCAGATTGAAGTAGTTCACAAATAGATGGGTTTTAGCTTGTTCAATATTGAACAAGTAAGTATTGGGCACTGTTTTCAGCACTTATAAAATGCATGTGTGCTCCAGAGCGCTGGAGCACTTGTAAAATGTAAATGAACAAACTAAAATCCCTACTCTTTACATTAAAGTGGGGGAGGTGAAGAATTTTATTTTATTTATTTATTAATTTTTTGAGACAGAGTTTTGCTCTTGTTGCCCAGGCTGGAGTGCAATGGTATGATCTCGGCTCACTGCAACCTTCACCTCCAGGTTTAAGCGACTCTCCTGCCTCAACCTCCTGAGTAGCTGGCATTACAAACAGGCGCCATCATGCCCTTTAATTTTGTATTTTTAGTAGAGACAGGGTTTCTCCATGTTGGTCAGGCTGGTCTCGAACTCCCAACCTTAGGTAATCTGCCTGCCTTGGCCTCCCAAAATGCTGGTATTAACAGATGTGACTTGAAGAATTTTAAAAACATCTCTTTTTGTTCAATGTTCCCCCATAATTTATCTTTCCCCTTGCTAATGGAAAATGTTACTTTGTTCTTAAATATGAGGCTTTTGTGTGTAAAATGTTTTAGAATCTGATGTTTTTGAGCAGGATTGGCAGTGGGTGGGGGAGGAGGGATTGGAGATTGATTTGATAGAAATGTGAAGGGATAGCTTGGGGGTGGATTTTAAAATAAACTTTAGAAAAATGTAATTTAAAGCCCTGCGCGGTGGCTCAAGCCTGTAGCACTTTGGGAGGCCGAGGCGGGTGGATCACGAGGTCAAGAGATCGAGACCATCCTGGTCAACATGGTGAAACCCCGTCTCTACTAAAAATACAAAAAATTAGCTGGGCTTGGTGGTGCGTGCCTGTAATCCCAGCTACGAGATCGCGCCATTGCACTCCAGCCTGGGTAACATGAGTGTAACTCCGTCTCAAAAATAAATAAATAAATAAATAAATAAATAAATAAAAATGTAATTTACCCAGATACCATGTACCATTTGTTTTGCTCTTGTGCCCAGGCTAGAGTGCAATGGCACAATCTCAGCTCACTGCAACCTCTGCTTCCCTGGTTCTCCAGCCTCAGCCTCTCAAGTAACTGGGATTACAGGTGTGTGCCACCACGCCCAGTTAATTTTGTTATGTTAGCAGAGACGGGGTTTCTCCATGTTGGTCAGGCTGGTCTCGAACTCCTAACCTCAGGTGATCCAACCTGCCTCAGCCTCCCAAAGTGCTGGGATTACAGGCTTAAGCCACCACACCCGGCCTCATTTTTTTTTTTTTTTTTTTTTGAGACAGAATCTCGCTCCCAGGCTGGAGTGCAGTGATGCGCGATGTCGGCCAACTTCAACCTCCACCTCCTGGGGTCAAGCAATTCTCCTACCTCAGCCTACCAAGTAGCTGGGGTTACAGGCACGCACCACCATGCCCGACTAATTTTTGTATTTTTAGTAGAAGGGGGTTTCGCCATGCTGGCCAGGCTGGTCTAGAACTCCTAATCTCGTGATCCACCTCTGCCTCCCCAGGTGCTGGGTTACAGGCGTGAGCCCCCGCACCCAGCCTACTTTTGTTTTTTTGAATACCGGTGTTTGACATTTCTCCATTCACCTTGGTTTAATATGGAAGTATTCGTGTTTTAGTTTTAGCTTTCGGATATATATGTATGAGTGTGGTATGCTGCCTAATGAATTAGATGTTGGTTCTGTCTTTACCAAAACTGGACGAAGAGCTGGCAGATGCAAAAATCAAGTGACCCAGCAAACCAGACACATTTTCTTTTCTCAGCTAGCTTACCACCTAGAAAGACTGGTTGTCAAAGTTGAAGTTCAAGAATCACGGAGGATGTTTAAAATGCAGTTTCTCAGGTTCTCACCACCCACTGTAAGTTTCGATTCATTGGTTGGTAGGAGAGGGCAGAGATATTTGCAATTTTAACAGCATCCTCTTGATTGTGATGCAGCTGATTCACATTTTGAGAAACTGTACAAATAGGTACCCTACAGAAATGACAGGTGTTAAATTTAGGATGGCCATCGCTTGTACGCCGGGAGAAGCCCACGCTGGGCCCAATTTATATAGGGGTTTTCATTGTCAGCTCAAGAGCAGCCTCAGAGCCCGGATAACCTACGCCAGCACCCGGAGCGGATCCCGCCAGGTGGGAAAGGCCAGGTGGAGCGCTGGGTCCTTCCCGCAATTGTGGCTCCTGGCCGGAGGCTCCGCCCCTTCCTCTTGGCCCCTCCCCTCTCCGTGGCCCCCCCCTCCGCCCAGCCAACGACGCCACGGCCGGAAATGACGACACCGGTGAGGGCTTTCGGGCGGGGCCTGGGACAGGCAGCCCAGGGGTCCGCGGTTTCACATCGGAAACAAAACAACGGCTGGTCTGGAAGGAACCCGAACTGCGAGCGGAGGTGGCGGCAGCAGCGGCGGCGGCAAAGAAGCGTGTGTGCGTGATGGGGAGTCCGGGGAGAGAGGAAGGCGCCGTGGATATGGGCGGCCGCGGGCAGGGCCCGGCCCTTTGTCGCTGCCCTGGCCGCGGAGCCGGTGTCCTGACGGATGAGGGGCGGGGTGCGGCCGGGTGGGCTGGGGAACCCCGCGTGGGAATCCGGGAGGGGCGGCCCGTTTCTCGGGCTTCGGGCGCTGCGGGCTGGAGAGAGATTCCGCGGAGCCTTGGTGCGGAAACGCTGTTTGCTGAAAAGGCGTCTCAGGGCGCAGGTGCCTTGGGCCGGGATTAGCCGTCTGGGCTGGAGTGGAGCCGGAGAAAGAGGAAGCGTCTTGGGCTGGGTCTGCTTGAGCAACTGGTGAAACTCCGCGCCTCACGCCCCGGGTGTGTCCTTGTCCAGGGGCGACGGGCGCTCTGGGCGAAGTCCGCACGCCTCTCGTTCGAGGCGGAAAACGGGGTCTGATGCTTTCTCCTTGGTCGGGACTGTCTCCAAGCATGCGTGTCCGGTGCCTCTTGTGTTTGCTGGAGCTTCCCTCTCAGGTTCTTCTCACCGTGTGGTCAGCTCTGCTAGGCACATTAATCTGTAGTGACGGCTGGGATGGGTGAGAGAATTGAGGTGGCTTTTCCATAACTCAGGTGAGATTGATTAGAGTTCGATCTGCGGTGGTGGCAGAGGCTTAGAAGAAACACGAACGGGACCTGGCAACCAACTGAGGGTCAGGGAATAAAGTGTAAAGTTGATTAGGAGGTTTTCAGTTTAGAACATGACAGAGACATTCTCAGAAATAAGGAAGTTAGGAGGAAGGAACTGGTTTAAAGAGGAGGGCGAGAAGTGGTTTGGAAGTTTCACTTTGGACGTGCCAGCAGGTGAAAATGTCCTGTGAACAGGACTGGAGCTGTAAATGCGAGTCAATTCCATAGATTTCCAGTTGATGTTGGAGCAGTGAAGGAGAAGTCTCACGTTAGGAAGGGGAAGAGGAGGCCAAGGCAGGCACTTAGGAACACTTGTAACGAAGGGGTGGAAGAAGAGCAAGGAGCCAGCTGAGGAGAATGAGTGTGGTTGAAGAACCACCACAGTGCAGGGTCACCAGAGCTGAGGAAGGAATGGAGGGAAGCTTCAGGAAAAGGTTGGCAGGGATTTTGAGTGTTAGGTTTGGTGTTGCGGAAGGAACCGAAGATTTAGAGCAACACTAGCCAATAGAAATATAATGTGAGGCCGGGCACGGTGACTCACGCCTGTAATCCCAGCACTTTGGGAGGCCGAGGCGGGCGGATCCTTGAGCTCAGGAGTTCGAGACCAGCCTGGTCAACATGACGAAACCCCGTCTCTACAGAAAATTAGCTGGGCGTGGTAGCGCGCACCTGTAGTCCCAGCTGCTCCCGAGGGAGTGAGGCAGGAGAATCGCTTGAACCCAGGAGGAGGAGGTTGCAGCAAGCCAAGATCGGGCCACTGCACTCCAGCCTGGGCAACAGAGTGAGAGACTGTCAAAAAAAAATTTTTTTTTTTTCTTTTGGAGAAAAGGCATACAGATTTATAGCGTGCACTTTGGGAGAACCACAAGGTGATTATCCCTATTTTAGATTTTGTAATAAACATATTATTTAGAGACGGGAGCCTCACTATGTTGCCCAGGCTGGTCTTAAACTCCTGGACTCAAGTCATCCTCCTGCCTTAGCCTCCCAGAGTGGTGGGATACAGGCACTATCCACCGTGCCCGGCCATAAACACATATTTAAAGGTAAAAAGAGGCTGGGCGCCGTGGCTCACACTTGTAATCTGCCTGCACTTTGGGAGGCCAAGGCAGGTTGACCACCTGAGGACAGGAGTTCGAGACCAGCCTGGCCAATATGGCGAAAACCCGTCTCTGCTAAAGACACAAAAATTAGCCAGGTTTGGTGGCATGTGCTTGTAGTTCCAGCTACTCAGGAGGCTGAGGCAGGAGAATTGCTTGAACCCAGGAGGTGGAGGTTTCAGTGAGCCGGGAACATGCCACTGTACTCCAGACTGGGTGACTGAGTGAGACTCCATCAGGAGGGGGAAGAAAAAGTAAAACAGGTGAAACCAATGTGAATAATTAATTTTAACACAATATACCTAACATTTTGATTTCAATATCTAACCGGTAAGTATAAAAATTTACTTGTCTTGCCCTCTAGATAGTAAGCTTACTATCTTACTTTAGAAGATATTGCTTCTAAAGTAAATAGAAGCAATATCTGATTCAGTAGAATTCCCAATCCCATCACAGTGTGTGGAAACCCAGTAAGTGTTGATTGACAGACACTAATACTTGGGCCAGGCGCGGTGGCTCACGCCTATAATCCCAGCACTTTGGGAGGCCGAGGCAGGTGGATCACGAGGTCAAGAGATCGAGACCATCCTGGTCAACATGGTGAAACCCTGTCTCTACTAAAA